CCAGGCATGGTGGCACATGCCTGTAGTCCCAGCTACTCGGGAGGCTGAGGCAGGAGGATCGCTTGAGCCCAGGAGTTTGAGGTTGCTGTGAGTGACGCTGACGCCATGGCACTCTAGCCCAGGCAACAGAGTGAGACTCTGTCTCAAAAAAACAAACAAACAAAAAAAAAATGCAAAAGATAGATTAGGAATATTAAAGTATAACATTTGAAGAAATAAGAAAAATTTGAAGATGTTGAAGAAGAGGGAGGAGAAAAGAAAGCAGCAGTGACAACAAAAGGAAAAGGAGATGAAAAAGAAGATCAGAAAGGAGATGAAGAGCAAAACAAGAAGAGAAAGGAGAAGATGGAAAAGAGGACAAAGATGGAGAAGAAAAAGGAGAAGATGAAAAAGAGGAAGAAGACCAAAGAGACAAAGGAGATGGAAAGGAGATTGAAGATGGAAAAAAGAGAGAAAAGAGAAGGGAGATAAAAATGAGAAAAAAGATGGAAAAGGCAAAAAGGGAAGACGAAGAGGAGGAAGATGGAAAGGAAGAAGGAGGTGGAAGTGATGAAGAAGCTAGAAAAGAGAAAGTAGATGGAAAAGAGAAGGAAGAAGGCAAACAGATTAAATCAAAACCAAAGGCAGATTATTTGCAAATGCTTGAACTAAGTAATAGATTATGCATTGTGCATGTGAGTATACAGTCTTAATTCTGTATATCATTACATATTACATACATTTGTTAAATATTTTATGTTATAAATATGCAAATGTACCTGTGAACATAGTAAGTTACCCCATCACTCATCTGGGCCAAGGGAGAGTAGGGTGTTATTGACACTTTAGAATTGTGAATCAAAAATGGTGTGTTGAAAGTAAAGACTTAAAGGTCCTTCATTTATTCCAGGGATACTTACAGGGTGAATAGTTTACTGTTTCACCTGTTTAGTCTTTGAGTGTTTTTACTTTAACCCTCTTGGGGTGAGAGGAACAGCTACTTAATAAAAAGTAAATGTTAATATAATACTAACAGTTTTAACAACAGGGCGTAAATACTTCCGTCATTAGTTACATTTTTGTTACCTCTGAAATATTATGTCATTAGTTACTATTACCATTTCTGCAGCTAGCAGTCAGGACATTTGTAGCTTTTTATATTTTTCCCCTCTAGATTGTGAGCACCTTGAGGAAAGTATGAGTCCTGTTTTTGTTTCTTTGTGTTATTTGTCACAGCGCCTGGCACTGTAGATTTTTAAGGAATGATAATTAAAGGAAAGAAGGAATGGAGACTTATTCTTGTAATTCAGTTGTCTTTATATTATTTGTGATGTCATTTAGTAGCATACATAGAATAATCACTGTGGCATCTTTGTGGTGTACAGGAAAAAAATAATGAATGGAACACTTGAAAATCTAGGCATCCTACCATTAGTCTACCTAGCTAAAGCTTCAGCTAAAACCATTGTTCTCAAGGTACAGGTGTTCTTAACAGCTAATCCATGTTGCCCTTCCTTCTCCATCTACTGCATAACCGGTAATTACAGTGTGGTATATATGTGGTAGGTTCGTGAGGCAAGAGTATATAGGATGTGATGTTGACTGGGCACCAAGTATTCAACATTGCCTCATGGACCCCCAGCTCACCTCGGTATGCTGTGAATATACTGCCTGTGCTCAGTCAAGTGAGCAGAATTTGTCTGCCTCTCAGATGAAGTGGCTTCTTGTGAAACCTGTGATGGTAAAGAGAAAAATTAGTAGTAGGAACCAGTAGAGGGAGAAGCAGATAGGCTGCAGCAGGTCACCTCAGTTTTCCTGAAGCTTTGGTAAACAGCTATGAATCTCAGTACATCCTGACCTTTGCTTTGGAGGAGGCTGGCAGAGGCTCCAATGGGTGACTGCTCAAGACTTGATAATACCAATTTCTTTTAGTCAGGTGGCTTAGATTTTGTCTGGAA